GCAGCTCCTAGCACAGGACAAGGCAAAAATAACCCCACAAACAGAGCTATAATTAAACCAAAAGCACACCCAGCCAGAGCTGGTCACTCAGCCTTCTCTACACTTCATTTAGGCAAATAAAGAATTGTTCCAGGAAAACTACAAACATCCAGGCAGTTGTGACCCCATAAAAACTCAATTACGTAGGAGGGAACGTCAATACAAAACAGCTTTTTTCATTTACTGTAAATCTTAGTGTTTAAAACTGGGTTCTCTGGCTGTAGAAGATTAGACAACCAAATTTGAACTTTAGACTTTTTAAGGGAGGCAAAGGTTCTCTTCTGCCTTCAGTTGTAAGCAATTTCATCTCAAACCCAAACAATTAGCAATCAACTCCAAAGCTTCCTCTTCAGCTGCTGCTTGCCCAGTGCTTTCTACACCTTTCTTTGGAGAAGAAATCAGAACACATCTGCAGTGACCTGAGGCAGGACAACACTCATTATTTTAAATGCAGCATCATTTAAAGTGTACCAGTTTATGCACATGTGCTTGAACCTGGATAGATGCCTGGGGTTGAAATTTGGGGGTTTTGTTTATGTGTGACCCAGATTCAAACTAAGTCCATCTTCATGAGGCATCTGTTACTTATGCACCTCTATAGCAATGCTCCCAACATCACAGGTTTTCTCAGATGTTAGTGGGTTTCTCTCATGGTTTAGCTTTTTGACTTGTTTGTTTTCTGAACAGTCTAGGACTGGCAATAAGGCTGACTCCAGGAAGACACTGTAAAGCAAAGATGATCAGCCTTCCAAACCCTAACCAGCTGTATACTAAAATCCTCACATGGCCAAGAACCACAAGTCACACACAGCAGATCTGCAGAACTGAACACAGCCCAGGAAAGCCTTACAGGCAGGTGACAGCCAGTTACTCTGAAGTACCACTGGAGTACTGGCTGGATTTGTCAAACAGCCTGCTCTCAGTGACCCTTGCCATCAACCTTAACCACCCACTATTTGAAGTAATTCAGACCTGAGGCTCTGAGCCAGCCCAATGCTGGTCCTGAAAGAAAGTCTTAACTTGAATAGCTCACAGTCCACATGTGGTTCTGGCACTACAAACTGATTCCCTTGGGCAATGACTTTCAGGTTTTTGTGACTTTTGGCATTTTGTTTTTTACAGGAATGATTTTATTTCCTCACATTTATTGGCATTCAGATCTACTGTACACAGTGCTTGTTTCTTCCACATTCCTCCTGCTGCAATTTCTGGAACCACCTTTCATTGCTCCCATGTCTGTCCATGTCTGAAACTGGTTTCAACCAGCCATGGTCAAACCACACCCCATATGACTGCAGACCATGGAATATGCACTGCATCAAGCCATCTTGCTAAAGCAGTGGTTTGTAATATGGTTGCTGGTTGATTGTTTGTCTGAAAATCCCTATCCACAAGAGACACTGAAATAGTGCTAAAAGGCAGGCTAGTTCCAGAAATGTTAGGCGATGTTTGTGCTGCAAACTTCTGGACAGTGTAGCTCTGTTGACAGATGTGATCCCTGACCAAAGGAGCAATGCCAGCAGCAGCTTCTAATGCAAGGACAGCATCTTTACCAGTTTCATGGACAGAAGGTAGAGTGGTGTTGAGACACCATACTAAACCCATACTTTGTCCCATCAGATGAGAAATCCTCCTGAGATCTAGTAAAGACCTCTTAATGAAGGAACAGCCCTAAGGATTAGCAAACTAAGATTGTGTTCAATTTGGCTCCAGTTTCCCAAGGAATGTGGGAAGGCAGAGGGGAAAGAGACCGGGAAAGACAAGTGTAATGAGTCAGTGTTTGGAAACCAAGCTAAGGATTTGACTCTACTTACTCGTTTATAGGCTGGTTCTAGAGTTGTGGCCAGCAAGCACTCATGGTTTCAAACTGGAGTAGACAAGCTTGGGACTGTGCCACTGCTGAATGTCCCCAAGTCAACTTAACACTACAGCTAAGCTCATTCCCTTGTGCTCCCTCACAAATGCTTCCTCTGCCCTTTTGCTGACAGCACTGGTCTTCCAGTGCAGGAGACCTCTCAACCTCCAGCCCTGCAGAGAGCCCAGGCCAAAGACCTCTTCCTCCTCTGCACTACTGATCATCTCTCTGGGTCTACCCAGCAAGAAGCAAGGCTTATGAGAAGTCATTATGTTCCACAAGCCTGGAGCCCTCTCTTATCTCCTGTTGGTACACAAACACAGCCACTGGACAGCCCTTCTTCCTAGCCCATATGAATCCCTTTCAGATCTCACCTGAAACTCTCCACTGGTTCCTCTTCTATCTCTGCTATGCAACTTGGCCTTCAACTCACTACCCAGTTCTTCCAGCTTTCCCCACTCCATAGCTTCATCAGACCTGACCTTTCTCCACCCAGTTCTGCACATGGAACTACCTCCTGAGTTGGTCCACTTGCCAACCACCATTGAACCAGTCACATGTGAAGAAAGTGTTTCAAGGCAGGGAGCAGAGCTGTTTCATGGCAAAAAGGTCAGTTACAGGGCAGTAAAGAGCTCAAGCTGGGAAGCAACATTTGAACAAGTGGCGAGTCACCCAGCAAGCAGAAAACCCCAAAGCTTTTACTGAGAGTTTGGGAAAGTAACCACACTGGATGTGAATTGCTTTATCAGTGCTGAGACAGCCACTGTGTATCTGCCTTACTAGGAGCCAGCTATGACTGATGCACAGGCAGGGTGGAGGGACATTCATTAACGAAGTTACCCATTTGCTAAAGTAATCCATCACAAAACTCAAGTGTACAGGGAAGAAGGGAAGTTTTATGTAACAGTGTTTGGCCAAACCATGATAAACACAGAGAGAGGGTAAGGTGCAAGAGGTGTCCCCTTGCTTACAGTCAGCATAAGGCAATAAGGTGATGTAGGGAACAAATTGCTTCATGAGATGGCTGTGGTATTGCAGCTGAGTCACAGTGTCTTGGAGTGTGTCAGTTCTTCTGTCATGCCATGTGTATTGGCTCCTGAAACCTCATATCCACATGGGACCAGACTCCAGCCTCTTTTTACTAACTAGCACAAGCAAGTGATTTTGGTCTAATGGATTTAGTATCAAGATAGACTACATGTCAGACAAATTTAGAATAGATGGCTGTGGTATTGCAGCTGAGTCACAGTGTCTTGGAGTGTGTCAGTTCTTCTGTCATGCCATGTGTATTGGCTCCTGAAACCTCATATCCACATGGGACCAGACTCCAGCCTCTTTTTACTAACTAGCACAAGCAAGTGATTTTGGTCTAATGGATTTAGTATCAAGATAGACTACATGTCAGACAAATTTAGAATTATGGAGTGCCCACTTGTTCCCCCACCAGCTTCCCAACTCTGCTCCACGGCACAGCTCCTTCCAGCCTCATCCCTGCTTTGCTCCTCCAGGCCTGTCCAGCCTCATGCTCTCCAGAACATATCCTGCAAGGACACATCCCTTGAGGGATGAAAGACAGATGACATTCAAGAAATGCCAATGAAACAGATCAGTACAATGTCAAGATGGAGCAGGAGACAACTCCCTGCAATAGTAAGCAGGTTAAAGCCTAACACATGGTCTGTCTGAAAGGCAGTAACAGTCTCACTTTGCATAGGAAAACATCAACTGCTCCAGTCGCAGTTTTTTAAAACTCATGGTATTGTGTAAAGAGTTGTCTAACTTTTTCCCTTCCAAAGTAAGAAAGCAGGCACTGCCTCATGTATGCTATAATATTTGGCCATTGGCTGCTTTTCACAACAAAAAAGTCATTTATACCAAAACAGCAAAGGACTGTGTTTCACAAGAAGATTAATCTCAATCTCACCCTTGATATGGCCCATATCACCTCCTGGGGTTTGCTGTGTTTAGATGGATAAACCGGGCAGACACACATCCCAAGCATCTTTTGATTGTGGGAGACAAAACAGTGCCAGCTTATGTGATAGAAAACACCTGGCTCCTTGGGTAGAGCCTGCAGCACTTGGGTGATTTCTGTGGGGGCTTCATGGGTCTACCAGCTAACAACACAGACCCAGCAGCCAGCTGCACCTGAGGTCAGAGTCCAAGGGAGGTCAGGGCTCTGATTTCTACCAGCATTGAGAGAAACCTATCCAGGGAGGCACCAAGTGAGCATCCTGCTCAGTGCACAAAGCTTAAAGAGCTGGGCAGTGTCCTGAAGCAGGAGAGGACCACAGTAACAGTGCAGACAACCTTCAGCTTGATGTTAGGCTAATATCCTTGTTTACAGTGTGGCAGAAAATAAGCGTACTATGTTTTAGCATCATCTGTGCCTGGAAGGGTCTGATCCCCCCCAGGACCACGTGCAGGAGGTGCTGCAAGGCGATAACCAAATGCCAACCACAGATGTGCCTGCACAAATTCTGCCAAAGGAAAAAAAGAAAAAAAAAGCATAGAGTAACAGTGTTTGTTTATCCAGGAGTGAGAATTACCCTGTAAGGTCAGCTGTAGAGGACTTTGCTGCACTGAACCCTGGCAACTTGCCAAGTTAAGCACGTAGCAAAGACATCACCCAGCCAGTGGGAACAATGTCACACACTGCCCAGACCACAGAGCAGCCCTTGGATACTTGCTAGCTCATCCTCTGGCAATGCCCTCTTACAGTGCCAGGGGACTTGGAGTATTAAGAATCCTCCCCTACTCAAAGTTTGCCCACTTGCTTAATCAATTTGGCCTCTTGAGATGAAGGCAGGAGATTGTAGTTTAAGTTGTCTGAGATCAAGCCAGTACTTGGCCACAGGGAACTATGCATGCTCTAACATTGCAATAAGTCAATAGTTACGTCAGTAGTACTCCATTATTTTATAACCGTTGATGATCAGGTATCTAAATGTAAAAAATTAAATATTCCTCCTTTCCTCCACTTCCCTCCCCATCTCTATGCCTCTCTTCCCATCCTGCTGCCCTCCCAGTAAGGCATAAGTATAGGATTTAATCTCTCATGAATTGTTCCCAGGAAATATGCTCTCCAGTGTAGTGCAAGCCCTACCTTGGTTGAGATAGGTCAGGGTTTCTTCGTGCAATTTCACGGCAGGTGACGTGGCTGTGCAGAGGACATACTGAAAGGGTGGCAGCTTGGCATCATTCTCAGGAGACAGCTGTGGCTCTTCCTGCTTGAAAATTGGCAGCGCAAGGACATCTCTGCAACATACAGTTCACACTCATTTAGTTAGAGAGTTTACAGAATATCATAGCATCAATCTGCACTTGAGTTTTACCATCTGAGATACTGGAGATGGTCTCTGGAGAAACAGAGTTAAAATGGGTAAAATAGAAAGAATTTGGCCTATATAATGTAACCAGTGCTCTAGGATAACAGCACTGCACACATAAGAACACAGAATTAATTTATGGTTTTAAAACATAAATTAGATTTACTTTTCAGTTAAGCAGTCTGCTTGACAAAGAAAAAAATAGCAAAACTAGATACTTCATCCTAGCAGAAGTGCATTTAAGAGTTCTTGGGTTGTTGGATGGAAGTCTCTCAGGAAGAAAAGAAAAGGGCGAAAGGGCACCTTGACTGCTCAATGTCAGAATAGTAAGATGTCTACAAGTAGCAGCCAAAGGTGAGGAGCAGACAACGCTGGTGCAAAAAGGAGACATTCAGATATATGATGAATCCAGGATGAACTTCTGTATTAATTGACTCATAACATCTTGCACCCTAATAAACATGGGCCCAAGGAATCACATAGCTCTTAAGTCAGCACTAGGCTACCTTCATAGACACACAGGTGCTCAGGAGCAGCTTTGCTAGGATCTGCACATAGTCCTTGTTCTCACTTCTTTACAAGATGTTGATGCTGATCTACCTGCTGATTTAGTGTCAGGCTGATCCCAACCCACACTAATCCCCAAGCAGAACTGGTATTAGCAAGGCTGAGAGCTCAACAAATGATTAGTTGATTAGTACAAAATGAGATGTCAGGAATAAGCATCCTTATCTCAGTCTGATACTGAAGAACCACATTAGCCTTTCCTATGTCACTAACACTTCTGATCATTGTGTCCACCTACTTAAGACATTAAAATCCTTCCAAATTAGGAGGATTATGTTGAACACAAAGACAATTCAGAATAAGAAGTGATTCTTTTTCTTCTCCATTTCCTCCAGATGTGTGAAGACTCAAGAGCCCCATTACAGATGCTGTGGTTCTGCTCCTTTTCAGAATCCCATATGCAAAAAGCTTTAAGAAAAACCACCCAGGAACATGTCAACATGTACAGGCATGCACACTATGGAAAGGGCATTAAGAATATTTTCCTTGCCTGTTCAGTTAATGATCCACTTGTAGTACCCACAACCTTGAAGGTTACCCAGGTCATGAGTGCAGCAGTTTAGAGCAAACTGCTGAAGTGCCTGATTCAAACACAGGTACTCTTATTTATGGCAAAATAAAGCCAGAGAGCAAATTGTGCTGTTTCAGACAGACAGGAGAAAATAAACACCCATCTCTGTTTCCATTCTCTCTTCCAACCCCACGCCCTCCATATTATCACCCACTCAAAGGCATCCAGCCCCATTTGCTTACTGGCATTACCGACATAATCACAGCTCTTGCCTAACTGCTGCCATAGAGAGGGTTTTTTTCCTTAGTGATGATGATTTACTACAGTAATGAAGTGACAGAAATGCCTGCAGTAGATTTCTGAAATAGATAGCATTGCTCCACACACATGCAGGGTCTGATACTGCTCCAAAGTCGTCTGGCTCACCCTGGATGCCAACATTTGATCTTAACAGCCTCATGTGCACAATGCTATCGGAATGTGTGCAGCTTCACAGACAAGAACAGGTCAAAACCTCTGAAGCATAAAAACTTCTGTGGTTCAGAAAATATGCAAAATCCAGGTTTAACAGTTAGAGGTGAGGAATTTGTACACCTACTCACCTGAAATAGTTGAGAAAAATTCATGTGATGCTCTTAGCACCCCTACACCTGCCAGAACACTGAATACTGTAAGCATGGAGGAGTCCATGATTTGGTTTCACCATATTGAAGCCCCAATGAATCCACACAATTTAGTCCCATTTTTATTCCTAGAGCATTTGAACTAATGTTAGAGGTGAGGAATTTGTACACCTACTCACCTGAAATAGTTGAGAAAAATTCATGTGATGCTCTTAGCACCCCTACACCTGCCAGAACACTGAATACTGTAAGCATGGAGGAGTCCATGATTTGGTTTCACCATATTGAAGCCCCAATGAATCCACACAATTTAGTCCCATTTTTATTCCTAGAGCATTTGAACTAATGGTCCATGGTATCTGTGGCTTTGGGTTAAGACCTTCTAAAACATTTCCCCTTATTAAAAGTGTTTGGCACTTACAAGGAGGTCAAGGGTTAAAAGAATTTTTAAGTGTATAAGTCATCACAATATTTGTTCAACTTTCTTCATTCAAGAGTTGAAAATCTAGTTGGGGAAAAACAGGCTTTTGCAACAGTTCCCATCCCATTTAAAAAAAAAACCCAAAACAAAACATAGAAAGTGAACTCCTTAAAACTCTCCCAAGTTTCTCCTTTATGCTAATGATGTACAGGTTCTGGTCTTAACCAACAGTTAGTTCGCTTACCTGGGAAGAGAGAAAGTTATCTGAGAGTTCAGTCAGGTGGCAGAACAGAGAGTAAAACACACCCCAGGTTTTCATAGAAATGAAGATTTATGAGGATTTTTATGTAGTATCATCTTGCTCTAACTACAAGTGGCATCGAGATATAACAGAACTTAGACGGATGCCTCAGATACACAGAAAGCCTTTGATCTCTGCAACATATAATTGATACAAACTTTTCTCACAGCAACTTCAAGACTGTACTATTTCTATTTCATGTGCAGAGTAACTACAAGGAACAAGGAAAGCCTTCAGAAAGGCATAGCTCACCATAAAAATGCCCCTCTAAAAAATGCATGTCTTGACACATTCCCATGGAAAGTGAAGTACTCAGAATTAGAGATCTCTTAAAACCAAAAAAATAAGCCAAAAAAAAAAAAAAGCTACACAGTTTTTTGTTCAACCAACCTTCCCTGAAACACCCAAGGACATTATTGCCATAAAACTTGTTTTAGGACTTTTAGTCCCTGATCAAAAACACCATGGTCACAATGGCAGACACTGAAGCTGAAGTTTGTTCCTAAAAACACCAACAGGTCACCTTCACATGAGCAGCCTTCCTGACTGAATAGGTATCCTTTATCCCCCAGCTAGCATCAAGCCAGCAAAAATAACCTAATGTGTTTCCTGGCCAATTAAACAGAATTTAAATTGTGAACTCAAGCCTGACCCAGACTTGATCTTGTAGCACTCATGTTACAAATACATGGAGTTATTGAAGCAGCCTGAGCACCATAAACACTCTAATGCACACAACTACCAACGCTGATGCTTCTCTGCTACTAACATTCCCCATTCTAAACTAATCAGATTTGCAAGCACAAAGCAAGAGAGAACAAGACTTTTGCTACACACATGTTGTGAAATAGACTGAGATGGGGGAGGAGATGAAAAATCTTGTATGAAGAATTGGAGAAGCTACCAGAAAGCAAAAATCTCACATTATTGTATCATTTGATAATGGGAGATTATTATTTAGTCAAAAAAAAAAAAAGTTCCTTTACAATTTCACCTTTAGGAAGCAGGAATAGACCAGATTGTGTCCTTGAAAAGGAAGTATTTCTGTGTTTGAAATACTTCCCCAGATGAACTCAATGCTCTCTCTAGAGTGGTTATTTGGGGGTACCTTTGAAAGCCAAGCTCTTGAGCCACAGAGAGGTTCTGCACTGCCACAATTCAGCAAAATCACCAAGAAGCAGCAGCAACCGACACCAGCTGAGATCTCAGCTTTACACCTTCAGAAAACAAATACTTCAGAAGCACCCAGAACAAAAAACAAACTCCCAACGTTGCCTGCTTTGACAGCGTTTCGAGGGAGGAAACGCGGGTTTGTGCTACACATGTTAGAGACTATTGTTTAGCTGCCCTTGTACTTAAATTAGGCACATTTAATTAAACGCAACTGTGCAGAGGCAGGAAAAAGCTGGTTTAGACAAGTTCATAAAGTGAAATTCTGAGCTTTTCACACATCGTCCCAAAGAGCAGAGAAAGAAATCCCATCCCCAGAAAACCGAGTGTCTTCTTAGTTTGCCAACAGACGTTTTCCGCAGACTTCTGACAGCGCTCCGGACCGCCGCACCTCCTCCCTGCGCGCACAGCCACCTCAGCCTGGACAGGAGGGAACCCGGCGCGAGCAACAAAGCAAAGACAAAAGAGAGGTGCCTAACGAGGCACTAATTAACAAAAATAACAAAAAGATCAGAGCGAGCGCGGAGGAGAAAGGCCCCCGCCGGTGGCGCAGCGCAGAGCTCCGGCGTTAACCCCGGGCGGCACCGCGGGATGCTGTGGGACAACCCAGCGAGCGGGACGCGGGTACCGACCCACAGCCCCG